TGGATTTAAAGAATGAAGAGCGTTTTAGTAAGAGCCCAATCAAAATGTAATTAAGAAAGGTAATTTGGCACCGTTAAAAATATTACATAATATACATCAAAGATAAAGTCTAGATATCTCTTACCATATGCTACTTTGGATGATCAGTCCTCTCCACCACTGAGATTTAAATGTTCACATTAATATTTTGAAGTGTGTACTTCTTTCTGAACCTCTTTGTATTTGCCTTATCATAACACATATCACACTGGATTAGAATCGTTTGTGTAACATTCAGCTTCCTTGCTAGATTTTTAGCTTCACAAGAATGGAGATCCCTTCTGTCTGACTCACCACTAGGTTCTAGTGCTCAGACTCTGACATATTAATAAATATGTACTGGAATAAATGAGTGGAAGAATGAATGAATTTCTTAGAGGAAGAACCATGCATTAGACTTTCATTTCTTTACAGCCTCTTGAATATTTCTTGTCCATTACTTTCCTTTTGTTCTATAATCTCTGAGCATAAATTTTATAGTTTGAATAGAATCTAAGATTTCATGTGTGTTCAGAGAGCCATACTTACAATATGTCTTAATTTCCTCCACTCAGCATTTTTTAATGCCAAATACCCAACATAATTGTTATCTGCAAGTCTACTTCCAATGGCTGTCAACCTCTCATTTTCTGCTCCTGATTAGCATAGTAAATTTTGCTTTTACATTTTTTATTGATGATCACATCACATCTCTGTTGCTTGGACTGCATAAGCAATTTTTTTTTTTTAATTATTTAGCCAACAGGAGCTTAAAAAGCAAAGTTTTTTAAGTTAAGAAATTACTTTTCTCCTCCAGAGAAGATGTAGACAAAACACATTTAAAGAGAGATCTAGTTCGGGGCACCTGGGTAGCTCAGTCGTTAAGCATATGCCTTCGGCTCAGATCATGGTCCCAGGGTCCTGGGATCGAGCCCCGCATCGGGCTCCCTGCTCAGCGGGAAGCCTGCTTCTCCCTCTCCCACTCCCCCTGCATGTGTTCCTGCTCTCACTCTCTCTCTGTCAAATAAATAAATAAATAAATAATCTTAAAGAGATCTAGTTAAATAAACTTTTGTCTCTGGGAATTGGATCCCCCGAGTTGGTTCTCAAGGTCTGCCTGCTTCACACCAATTGTCTGACCAGGTTTTCCTTTTTGTGATCTACACTGCTTGGACTAAGGAAGGAACGACATCACAACATGCGTTTCTCCCAGTGCTTCCTAAATGCACTGACCCCTTGAAAGTTTCAGAATGGTTTCTTTGTGGGCTGGGAGGGACCATCTGGCTAGCTGTAGATAAACAAGTTTCAACATATGGGCCATAACACATACACGGCTCTGCTCTACTAGTGCAGAAAATTAAGAAAAGGTTGCTCTCTTGATATGAGAAGCTCATGCAAAAGCAGGAGCACCCTGTCGTGGAGGGCCTGCCCTACACTGCACACAGGAGAGCTTAATTCCAGCCCCTTCTGTCTCACCCACTGAACATGTCACTTGATCACAGCAAGTCTCCTCGATTGTCTCATCTGAAAATTAACAAGGATGTCAAGTAAACTCTGGCCTTCCTCTTTCCCTCTCCCTCCTTCCTTCTCTCCCTCTTTTTTTTCTTCGTTCCTTCCCATTAAGAAATATTTTTTACATGCCTCCTACATATGTTGCAAGCACAGTGCAAAGTGCTGGGCATACTGATGAGGGAAACAGACCCGGCCCCCGCCCCTGAAGAATTACTAAACTATGATGGACACACGCATTAAATAAATCATTGAAAACATGAAGAATATTCCAGACAGAGGGTGGAAAGCATGTGTGTAGGTCCTGAGATGGGAAGCATAGACTGTTGACAAAATGCAGGATTTTGTAAATATTTCTATCCCTTAAATAGAGGACTCAGTTGAAAGTCAAAATGCTGCAAGGAAAATACCTGCCGCCTCCAGATGGCAATTCAAGCAATCATTATATTTGCATAAACTATCTGGAAAATTGTCTGCATCTTCTATTCATATCATTGATATTATGCCTATAATCAATGAATCTAATAAAACTGCATGAAAATATGATCATCGAAAACATATACAAGCAACTCAGGCACATGACACTGTGGCAAAGGCTTTAAGAATGATGAAACGGGGGCGCCTGGGTGGCTCAGTCGGTTGGGCGTTTGCCTTCGGCTCAGGTCATGATCCCAGGGTCCTGGGATCGAGTCCCACATCGGGCTCCCTGCTCGGCAAGAAGCCTGCTTCTCCCTCTCCCACTCCCCCTGCTTGTGTTCCTGCTCTCGCTATCTCTCTCTCTGTCAAATAAATAAAATCTTAAAAAAAAAAAGAATGATGAAACGGTTTCCAGAAAACCCAGGAACTCTGAGCGCCCCTGCTTAATAGTAACATAATAAAACCAAACACTAAGGTAACTGTCATTAAGTGACAGCTTGCAAGTGCTCCTTCCTAAGCACCATTTCCCAACACCCAGCCTTGCAGGCTGACAGCTGACACCCCTGAGTGAGATGAGAGATGAGTCATCGCAGCCATAGCTGAACACTCATAAAATGAGTGTGAAGTGTTTCTTTCAGTGATTTCCCCAATTCTGGGTTAAAACAAAAGCTGTACCTTTGGCACAAATTATGTCATGTGTGAAGTAGTATAAATCGTTTGAGATTTCTCTCATTCTCTCTCAGTTTGTACTCTCTCCTTTCATTCGGCAGCTCTGCTGGTAACGCACAGCGCACACCGTCCCGCCCCTGCAACCAGAAGAAGGCAGAGAGTTCAGTGACCAGGCGTTCGAGTCTGGCATGATCAAGAGCCAAGGTGAATAACTAAGGTTGTGATAAAAAAAGCAAACAAACCCACTTAAAAACCTGAAGCAATCCAATCAACCACAATGCCTCGCCTTCTACTACGGGAAAGACACAGGGCATTCCCTACACACTGCTGCAGCATTCACTGTATGGTACGGCGAGCATTTCTGAGAAATGTCTGCCTTCTCTGATGGCACACTTCTTCAAAGTGAGGACTTGCTTTACCTATCTTTGTTCCCTCGATGTCCACAGTGCTGAATGTGGCAGAAGCCCAATAAATGCCCACTAATCAAGTCAAGGAATGAACAGTCAATTCTTAAAAAAAAAAAAAAAAAGTTATGAGCTGGATAAATCCTCACAGTGAAATGCAGTGAATTATAGATGGTCTTAACTACCTGTTAGGATTTTAGCAAAACATACAAAACGTGGCCTTCTGCTATTCTACGTAGAGCAATATTCATGACAGCAGACCTTCAATTAAAAATCATTACTTAAGTTGCTTTATTACAGCTACAAATAAACTTTATTTGATGTAATGTAATAAAACATTTTTCCAATGTAACAACATTTATCTGACCAGAATTAATCCTTTAAATTATGAATATAAGTATATACAGTCACTTTAGCAAATCCATGGTTCAGGAATTTGTACAAGCTTTATTTGAGAGGACAGCGCCCACCTCCCCTCCAGACCCTTCCTTGTGTCTGGTGAGATGCAAGGTCAGTGAAAGCAGAAGAAATCCATAATCCACGTTGGAATTCCACATTCTCCTGGAAGAGAACAGCTACATTTCTTATAGGAAAATCATTTTCTCTGTCAGTTCTCTTTTATCAAACGAAGCTTTGCGTTCACTTTCTCCCCTTGGAGGTACTCTTCCAATCCACCATCTTCCTGTCTCATTACATATTACTTGTACCTTAAAAACAAAAAATACTGTCTGCAAAGGGGCCTCTTCTGGTTCCTTACCTGCCCTATTGTCTACTACTCTGGGGAAGGAGAAGGAAGAAGAATGGAATTGGTCAGGCACACATTTGATTTAGGTTACAGAGAACACGAAAACAAATCCTCCTGAAGGAAGAGAATAGTGTTCTGAGTGTTTCCCAGTAGCAGCCCAGGCGACCTCCAAGTCACACAAATCCCTTCAATAAAACACTGCTCAAGAATTAACATGTTGACGCTCTGTCTCTGAAAGCATCACAACCTTCCATGGAAACCCCCTATTTCGACACTTCCTCCCCAAAGACACACGGTTGTCACCCAGCCTGGGAGCCCGCTGCATCTGTGTGAACATGATCATCATGCCAAAAGTTCTGTGCCCACAACCATGCTGGTATACAGCCCAGTTCGGTGGCGCTCGCTCTTCATCCAGGTACAAAGCCTCACCGAAGGAACACCCCTCATCTCTCAGGACCCTTCAGAAGAAGTGTGAGTGCAAGAAAAAGCTTTATTCAGGTTTTCTGTTTCTCTCCATCCTGAGATCTGTTCCTGAGTTATACCATAACGATACATGAGTTCACAAAGATAAGTACATTGGTGGGGAAGTCACAGGGACCCTGCAAAGAAGCAAAACTATTTGACAGAAGCTTTAACCAGACACTGCTCTGGGACATCATTTGTATTAGCTGATGACGGGATTCTGTTTTCTAACACGGACATGCAACATATTCAACACTACGCTTAACCACAGTTTGCTTGGAAAAACACCCTTCTGTCCTGCCACAAAATACATTCTGTCTTGTGAATGACTCCTGAATATTCACCACAATGCCTAGACTTGGAAACATGGGAAGTGTGCATTGGAACTTCCTTCCATTTGTAGGGGTTTGGACATACACAAAGCACCAGAAACGGTTTCCTTTCTGGGACTCAGTTCTGTCTGTGTGCGTACTGCTGAGCTGATCTGGCTGTCTTAAACGGAAAACTATTTTCTCTGGCACACAACAGCACAGATCCACAGGAAAAGATGAGAGGTCACCATCTCCCTCACAATATGCTTGGTACAAGAGATCACCCTGCTTGTCACGTCTCAGCCACCCCGGGAAAGGACAAGCCGCGCTCCATTCTGTGGCCTCAGCAAATGGTTGAGTTCTGTTGCCACCTCTGTCTTGCCTTGTTGATTTCATTTCCATTATTCCACTTTTGATCATGAATCATGACTTTTTTTTCTACAGTAGTCAGAGTTTTGTCTATAAAGAGAGAGAGAGAGAAAGAAAGAGAGAGAGAGAAGACAAGAAAATGATTTAGTAGAACCGTAAATGTGAGTTTTCATTTCGTGGTGGGTGGATTTAATTTTTATAGCATTCAGTCACTTGAATCATTTGTGGCTTCTAAGGGGTTATATGAGCTCTCTAAAAGGAAAGAAAGAGTGCTATGGCTCTTTTCATAAATTTTATCATGTCTCTAAGTTGCCAGGGCCTTAATATATTTGCAAATCAGCCCCAGATAACTCATTTAGAAATTCACTTTTATAATACAGCTGTAGCCAAAAATGGCTCCACTCTCAAAAATCCTTGCAAAATACTACTGCACTTGCCCCACGTGAAAAGAATAACAATGACTACTCCTGAGAAGTGTTCTTCCCTTCAAGCCTAGGAGGGTGCATCATAGAAAGACATGTGTGCAAAGACCAGAAAACCCCGTCTCCCTCCCCTCCTTCCCTCCCACACTCACAGAAGCATGAGTCATGGAGAACTCTTGGCCAACAGTTGAGGGAAGTCTCTTTCTCCTTGGTGTAGAGCCACATTCCCTCCAGATCCAGTCCCCTAACTCTGAACCTTCATAGGACTCCACTTACCAAACACTATCCACCAGCTTGAGACCTAGGTCTGTTGAGGTTCCAGGGTCTGGCACCGCACCCCCAGGCTCTGCTTCCCCATCCCAACAACAGTCCTACTCTCACTTGGCTCTCAAGATTGGATAGAGGGGTTCTCCTGGTGCCAGGATCAGTTTCTCCATAAGACACCATCTCTTGCTTTGTCTGTCACCTCACAGGATTGTGCCTAAAGCGAAGCACCACACTGCAACTCAAACCCACAGCTCCAAGCTCCTGATTTGTGGGAGTGGGCACCGGAAACAGCTGTGTCCCTGATGATGCTCCCCACCTATTCTAAGCCTGGGATCTCCAACTGTCTCAGCACAGAGGAGAGACTGCTCTTCTCTGCAGCTCAGCCCCGCTCTGCCCACATTGGTTCATGGAATGGACTGAACCCCTCCAGGCCTCAAGGGGCAGCACTATCTCCCCGGCCCCCCTGCCTTCACCCCCCACCTGCGAGTACACTACCAAACATTCAGACATCGTTGGCTCTTCCCTGGTCTCAATGCCACCCTCCTCATGTGGGCCCTCACGGCAGGAGACCTCATCTTCATATTGGTCTCTTAACCCATCTCCTTTCTCCCATTGTGAACCCCTGTCTACACCACTGCCCTGGTCTCACTCCTACTCAAAATGCTTCATCTCTCCCCCAACCCCCAACCCACACTGCCCACCTGGCCCTCCGCACTGACTCTACTCAACCCAGCTTCCAGGTGCTGCTGAAGACCTACCCCAGGTTCCTTATCTGCCTCCAACTGCATCTGTGCCCCTCTGTCCATGCTGTCCCATCTGCTCTGAGGAGGCCCAACTCCACTTCCGCCCCTGCCATCCCTCCTTGTTAAATTCAAGGCCCACTCCAAATATCACCTCCTTCCTGATTTCCACCATGGATAGTTTTTTTCCTAAGACATTCCCCCAAGCCTTATTTTTCTCATATTCCTATCCGTACTGCTTGATTTTTATTTTAAAAGATTTTATTTATTTATTTGAGAGAGAGAGAGAGTGCATGAGCACCAGTGGGGGGGGGGCAGAGGGAGAGGGAGAGGGAGAGAGAATCTCCAGCAGACTCAAACCTGAGCAGGGAGCCCGACACAGGGCTCCATCCCAAGACCCTGACATCATGACCTGAGCTGAAGGAAGATGCTTAATTGAGCCACCCAGGCGCCCCTGTTACTGCTTGATTTTATTTGGTGTTATGTGTATCTACTCAGAAAACAACAACAAAAAAATATGTTCGAAAAAGCAAGAGAGGCCAATTGCCTGCCTATTTTAAAGAGATATTACAAAGTTAGAATGCAGGCAATGGCAAAGCAAACAAGCTGTGGTTATTACTAATTGATGATTTAATAAAAACAAAGTGTTGAATTACATCTAGTTAATGATGAGGAAAATATTGTCGGGGGGTGGGGGTGGGGAGTGGAATCCATGAAATACCAACCGTGTTATTTGTTTCTGCCTTTAAGGCAACATCCCGGCACAGATACCCAGAGCTTCAGGGCCTTGGTTTCCACTAGGACCCATTTCCTTTTAATTTTTTTTTTTTTTTTAACCACAGGTTTCCATAAACAAAAGGTAGAATCACCCTGAACTCCAAAGCTACAGCACAAAGCCTGGAGCAGCGGATTGACGGAACTCATAAAAGGAAGCCAAGGTCACTCTGCTACCACTCACCACTGCAATCAGCCGGGATTATGAGAGGCTTTGTGAAGAGAAAGGCAATATGATCACCAAGGAGAAGAAGGGAGAGGCGAAGGGAGAGCTACTTCAAAACAATTTCATGAAATTCTTCTATATGGAAGTATTTTAAAAACGGCTTCTCTTTTTTTCTTTTTTAAAAGATTTTATTTATTTAAGAGACAGAGAGAGAGAACGAGCGGGGAGAGGGGCAGAGGGAGAGGGAGAAGCAGACTCCCCGCTGAGCAGGGAGCCCGACGCGGGGCTCGATCCCAGGACCCCGGGATCATGACCTGAGCTGAAGGCAGCCGCTCAACTGACTGAGCCACCCAGGTGCCCCAATACCAACATTTTTTTCAAAGTCACTCTATAGGGCTCAATGAAACTTGGCGTCTATTCCTTCCCCTTTATTTGCAGGTTACCAATGAAATGGTCTTTGGTCTTTTCCCAAGGCCCCAGTCTGCTTAAAACCTCTCTGGCTGGGGCACCTAGGTGGCTCAGTTAGTTGGGCATCTGCCTTCAGCTAGGGTCATGATCTCCAGGTTCTGGAATCGAGTCCCGAGATGGGCTCCCTGCCCAGTGGGGAGTCTGCTTCTCCCTCTCCCTCCCATCCCTCTCCTGCTCTCTTTCACTATCTCTCTCTTTTAAGATTTTACTTATTTATGAGAGAGAGAGCACAAGCAGGGGGAGAGGCAGGCAGAGGGAGAAGCAGGCTCCCTGATGAGCAAGGAGCCCGATGCAGGACTCGATCCCAGGATCCTGGATCATGACCTGAGCCGAAGGCAGACGCCTGACCGACTGAGCCACCCAGGCGCCCCCAAAACTGCTTTTCTATTTTGTTCCCAATAACAGTGTCAAAGAACGAAAATCACAGCGTGACACTTAAGAACAATTTATGGCAATCAAAAGCAACTCCATAAATGAGGCTGCTGTCAAATTAAAAAGAAAAGCACAGGAATCCCTGCTTCTATCGCACTATCACACTTGGTTTTGTATTACCAGATTTGGGTACCTGTGAAAAGGTGAAAGAGGTTACAAATTAGAACTGAACTGAAATGACCAGGGAAGCATACATAGCCTTTTCTCTCTATCTACTGCCCACCCAAGCGCCTGTTGGACTCCTGAGTCTCTCACTATGCTGATCAAGAAAATGGGGAGAAATGGGTGGATATTTGGAAGTAGAAATACACGGTCTAGTAGAGCATTTACATGGAAAAGAAAGAAAACTATTATGTAGGAGGGAAAAGTAGAGCCAAGAAGGCAGAGTTAGGGGCGTAAGTGAACAAGATTAGAACCCAAGCAGCCAGAGAGGGAGGAAAGGGCTGGAGAGACATGTCGGGGGGACAAAGGATCCTGCGAAGGTTTGCTGTGAGCTATGGGTTAGACACCAGTCATTCTTCCAGAGCCTCCAGTAGAGTTATGAGTTGTTCGGGTCATCCAGCTGGTATGTACTGGAATGCAAGTACAGGATATTCTGATTACTAGTCTTTCACTAACCACGACTGCCACATCTTTCCCCACCCCAGCCCACTGGGACTGTGAACTTCCAGAAACCAGGACTATCACCTATTCATATCTCCACCCCTCGACATGCCTGGCGTCATGCCTTGTACGTAGTAGGCCTCAAACGTTTCTGGAGAAATCCAGCCCCTGAAGAGACTTTACCTCCAGCATCTGCCTTCTGATTCATCTCACCTGGTGCCCCTGGATCCGTCTCTGTCACTTTGATGATTCCCATTCTCCTACTTGCAGAGATCCAATCAATGGCTCTCTTCTGTCCACATTAGGGCTTTGCAACTTCAGCATTATAGAATTTGGGGTGGGGTAATTCTTTGTTGTGCGGGGGGGGGGGCTGCCCCTGCGTTATGGGATGCTGAGCAGCATCCACTGGATGCCAGTAGGTCCTCCCCTCCCCCAGATGCGACAACCAAACATGTCTCTAGACACTGTCAAATGTCCCCTGGGGGAAAAACCAACTCTGGTTGGGAACCACTTGTCTACACTAAAATCCCAAATTCCTGGGGCTGGAATGGGGGAGCCTTTACGATTTGATCTCGTTCTACCTTTCCACTGTGATCTCCAAATCTTGCCCCACACCAGAGCTTAGCGCCAGCCTGACTGTCCTTTGCAGAAGGCCCCACACTGGTGCCTTTACATGGATGTTGTTTCTACTCTCCTTTAGCTATGAATGCTTGACTACTTTCAGAGATGTACTAGAGCCCATAACCTCCAAGATCTTCCCTGATCAGGGTTAGGGTAAGCTCTGAGTTATTTTCCTCTGCTTTGAATCCTATTTTTGCTTTTTCCTTTTCCTTTTTCCACCTTTCCTTTGATCTCATTACGAAAAGGGTGGCTGTGCATACGTGTGTGTTTATGTTCAGACTGTCCAAGAGAAATACATGCAGGACAGGAAAGACATCATGTATTTTCTGCATCCTTCTCAATGCGTGGCACAGTCACAAGCAAGAATTTCAAAAGGAGTCTTCCCACGTTGAAAGTGACTAGAAAGCTGCCTGGTATCGATTTTTTAAAACAGCAGTTATTCCAATTCTCTCATTGGAAGTTTCCTGAAGTTAATGGAGATTTAGGCCAATCATTCCAAATGATTTTCATATGCTATAATTATACATAAAATCAATAATTATAAATCAAACAGCGTGAGATGTAATGAGAGGACAGTCATTTTCTTAGACCAGGGGTCAGCAAACTATGACCTGTGGGCCAAATTCAACTGGCGGCCTGTTTTTGTAAATAAAGTTTTACTGGTGCATGACCATGCTCATTTGCTTACTTGTGCCGATGACTGCTTTCTCACTGCAAAGGCAGAGATGAGTAGTTTCAAGAGACCTATGGCTAGCAAAGCCTAACACACTTACTGTCTGGCCCTTCAGAGTAAAAGTTTGCTGACTCCTGTCTTAAACTGACAGGAAAACAATACCTAAGCCTCCATACTAGCTAAAGACCCAGAGGCAAATATCCCTGGATGCTATGTTGGTGAAGTTAGAGAACACGCTGAGTTCCTAGAGGTTTTCGGAGTCATCTGGTGGGTATCCTAGGTTTGGAGCTTCTGGAGTCTGTTGTGATCCGTGAGGACACTTCGGTGTCCGCCTGGAGCAGGGCTATTCTCCTGGGACAACTGGAAGCAGGAAGGTGTCCTTTGACACGGTTGTTACCCATAAAGGAACCTAATATATGAAGAATTTACAGAAGTAAAATTCAGATGAGGTGGGAGCTAGACCTAGGGGTGCACTAGCTCACTGGGGGCCACCTTAGTCCCCAGGTCTGTTACCTCTTCTGTCAAATGAAGGGCCCAGGCAAGTCGGCTGACAGGCAGCCCACGGTTCTCTGGCTGCTCCCTCCCACTGGGTCCAGTGAAGAGGAGTGCCTCCCCCTCTCCCACCAGCACCTTCCATCTTCTCCGTCCAGTTTCTTTGCCCTCAAACAGCTTTCAAACAGGAGGATGTTGCCTCTGCCTCAGATTTAAAGCAAAATCAGGGTGCGACATGCTGACCACCCTAATTACTCTATCATCCCCTTCTTTATCATGCCAAACTCACTAGCGAGTGGGTTGCATGTGAAACCCCTGTTCCTTATCACCACTGGCCCTCAGATCCCAGCACCTACTGCAATTGCTTCTGAGAAATGCAGAGGCCTCCCGGACAGACTCAGCAACTACGGGTTCTCTCCTCCGAAGGTGGGCAGCGCTTCCTCAAAGCTCTGCAGCTTTCAACACCTGCCTCATCCTGGCACGTCCCCATGCTAGCCACTCTCCTTTGTCCCAGGCTGCTTGTTTCTAGCCCGTGTGAATCTGCTCCCTTCCTCAAACAACTTTATCAGCAAAGGATGAGGGCATCAAAAAAGCTTTACTGGATATAAGAGTTAATAGCGACGAAAATAACAATATTACAAGAATGGGACAAGTCACGGGACATGACTTGGATGTTGTTTACGGGAAAAGGATGGGAACCACCACCTTCCTTGTGCATCACACCAACTGCAATTCCTCGACACATCAGTCCTGTCTTCCAGGCCCTGTAGGTGCCTGACTTTGGCTTTGTGAACTCTGTTGGCTGGAGGACTGGAGTCTAGAGTATCCTGAATTCAAATCCGTTCTGCTTAGTAGAAGATAAGCTGGCTACGGATTCAGGGAGCCCTCTGGGATACACTCCGAGAGGTTCCATAGCAAGGGCAGGGGGGGGTGGGGGATAAAAGGAAAATAGTGATAAGTGACCTTACAGCACAAACTCGGGTCTCTCGGGCCTCTCGGCGAGCTTCAGGGCCTCGTGCATGCCTGCAGCTGACAGCTTGCGGTTGATGTTCCGGTACTGACACTGGAGTAGGCTGCGGTAGGTGGTCCTCAGGTCCCGGTTGAAGAAGGCATATATAAAAGGGTTAATGAGAGAGTTTGCATAGCCCAGCCACAGAAATGTCCTCTCCACCCACAGCGGGATGCAGCTGCAGGCCGTGCCGCAGATGAAGGGTCTGGCCGTGGAGAGGAGGAAAAAGGGCAGCCAGCACACGGTGAAGGCCCCGACGATGATCCCCAAGGTGGTGGCTGCTTTCTGCTCCCGCTTAAAGATGGAGATGTTTTTCCTTTCGTGTTTGAGGAGTCTCGAAAGGTTGGCACACTCCTCCACCTCCTTCTGGAGCTTCACCATGCCGTTCAGGGAGATGATGCTGTCCGGCTCCTCGGGCCGGGGGAAGCCGGGGAACTTGTGCTTGGCGGCGCTCTTCCTGGCGGCCTTGTAGATCTGGTAGTACATGAACAGCATGACGGACATGGGGATATAAAACGCCACTGCCGTGGAGTAGATGGTGTAGCCGAAATCCTGGCTGATCAAGCACACCTTGTCGTCGTTTACGTTCTGAGCCCACCCGAAGAGCGGGGGTAAGGTGATGGAGGCCGAAAGCAGCCAGACGGAGAGAATCATTTTCGCCATGCACTTCCCGTTCTGCCTCACAGGGTACGTGAGCGGCCTCGTGATCCCAAGGTACCTAGGGGACAAATGGAAAGCGGGCACGTGACTCTGTGATCACTCCTGAGCAGCCAGCTTTCTACCCAGCAGCTCCATTCCTCAGGACAGCCCTTCTAGGGAGGCCTCATAGTGCCCATTTTACAGAGAGGTAAACTAAGGCTCGGGGATGTTACCTACTTCCGTCCAGGTCATACACTTAGCTAGAGGGACCGCCGGTGTTTGGCCTCGGAGCCCTCTGTCTGTAATGCCAGGCCACGCTCTTCTTGAACCTTGCAGCCTCTCCGATTCCACACAGTGAACCAAAGGTTAAACATCCGCCCTCCCTGCCCCCCACAAGACCACTGCCACCGAAATCAGCCAGGAACAAAATGTCAAGCCTGACGCAGGATGTGGTGACACATCCTCACAAATTAACCAAGGTCTACCACGCTCTGATATTATACACCCACTGATCTCCCGGGCTGTCTTAATTCAGACAGGCTTTTAATTCATTTTAACTTCCCCTTTGCACAGTAGCAAGAGCATTTCTTTAAGATCACAGAGATTTGTGAGATATTAAGGAAATCCTAGGGCTTTGGAATGGAAAGTAGCAAGTAATCTTTTTTTGTTGTTGTTATGCCCAGAAAATTCTCACACAAGGGTAATGTCAGAAGAATCTATAAAATAAAAACAGCCTACCTCGTCTCTTCTCTCCTGAGAAGGATCACAAAAAAGGGGCACAATTCTGAAAAATAGGAGGTAAAGCCAATGTTTTTTCTGTGCTTAGTTCTACGTGGAGAATAAATATTTCTCCATCTCTGTCATCAAGGATTTCCAATGCAAAAGAGACTCAGCAAACAGAAAACATGCACAGCAAGATGTTTTTGCTAAATGTTTAATGGTTTTCAGCTTTCCAAATTTGTTTTCTTCTCTGTGTATTTAATGGTCTTAGCTTCTATTTTGGGGAGAATGCAAAGAGCCCGTAAGAAGCCAAGACAGGTAAACGCTGGTCATTTTGTTGGTTTTTTTATTTCATGGATGTATATAAAAGATACAGTCTTAACACAGGAAAAGGAAAAGGAAAGGTAGAGAGCCCCCAAATTACCAACAGGTTATTTTCTGAAAGTCTCTCAGCTGGTGGGTTGGAACTTTAAAAATAATTATTTTGTGCTAGAAATAGCCTCACGTGTTTTGCTTGAATTTTGCTTGAATTATCCCACAAAAGTAAAAAAATCACACTTTCACCATGAAAATTAGCATCACTGCAGCACTTACGGCAAGGCAAAACTGAAATATTAGCAGAAAGGAATCAGCCACATTTGCTTATTCGTTGAGAATATTTATTCATCCCTTCAACAAAGACTAATTAAGCTCCTTCTGTATGCCAGGTGCTGTTTTAAAAGTTGGGGGTATGGCAATGAATAAAAGAGACAAAAATCTTGAAGCCAGGCGCTTGGGGTCGTCATGTCATGTCGGGTTGAACGGGAGGACTGCGCCTTGTGGTAACATGGATGGGGCTCCTGATTCTTTCCAAGGATTCAGGCATTAGTAGCATGGGTTCATTTCACAACCTCAGGTCCCTTTCCTCCATCAAGCTGACCCGCAAGCACTATCCCTAGGTTTATCGGGTATAACTAGGATTAAGTTTTGGCTCCCAAACAGAATGAAGGATGAGAAAGAGGGCGGTTCTCCTGAGAACACAAGAATTAGAGCTGAAAAGGAAGGGGAAAAAGAAAAGGAGGGAGGAAAAAGGGAGCAAAGGAGGAAGAGGGGAAAGAGGGAGCAAGGAAGGGAAATGCAGAATAGACTTTGCTGTTTGGGAATTATCTAAAATTATCTGAGTTTTATGTTGTGGGAAAAATTTTAAGACAATTAAAACACACACACACACACAAACCGGTAAATGAGGAAACCCCTGAAGCAAGGTGTTGGAACTGACTGGAAGCATACGGTTAAGCTGATCCCTGCTCCGAGATAGTCCATTTCTTTTCTTTTCTTTTCTTTTCTTCTTCTTTTTTTTTTTTGCTTTGATTCAGGCTTTTCCTGCTGGAGCTGCTTTGCAGACCTCTCTTTTCAGATCTCGTATTTGCTATCAACTCCTGTGGATGGACACAGCCTTTTGGCTTCTTCCGTGTTTCCCAGCTCCCCCCAGCAGGCCTTTGCCAGGACTTGGATTTTGATTATCTTCTCTCTTTGCCTGTAGCCACAGGCACAAGCTGTTTGTTCCCAAGCCTGGATCTAGCTTCCTGGATATCAACCCAGGCAGGAAGTCCAACAGGGAGACCAGTTCCTACAGTTCCCCAGGTGGCCACCAGATGGCACTGTGAGACCATCTTACACCTACTTACTGGGGGGTTGGGATGTGGGTCGTTAGGGCAATTGGTGTTTACTGGAAGGAGGAAGGAGGATCACTGTGGATGAGAAAAGTTATATTTTATTTGCGGGGTTATACAAAAAAATTAGCAAGCCTGAAATTCACAACCTCGTAAACTCCTATTCTTGAGGAAATCTGTTCAGTTTTCCCTTCCATCCTTCACATACTCCTTACTCAAACAGGGAATTCCATCTTCAGGCTTAATTAAATCCAGCCTCTCTTCTGCTCCATAAATAATGTGGAATTCACAAAGATTAACCCTGAGAGATTAATTGAGTACCCAAGGACATCTCACAATATTAAATAATCTCATGAGCGCAGCATGCTTATTCATATTCTAATATACTTAGTCTGACTTATATTGCATTTCAGTGATGTGGGCCGGCCCGTATTTGATCCTTCCTGAATGTATGAATTATATTCCATAAACTCCTATTTTAGACTCCATTCTCTAGTTACATCAAGTCACATCCTACAGTAAGGCAGAGTTACTTTTTTAGTTTCCTGGGTACCACCTGGTGAGACCTTTGAAGGCTAAAATCAACTGAAAGATGATTTTTAAAAATGTATGAGAGCTCATTAAAGTGTCTGGAAATAAAATAAATAAACAAAAGTCAACAGGTTTTTAAAAATCAATTAACAATTAGAAATATTATGAAAGGAAATAACTCTATTCATAGCAACAATCAAGGAATTAAAATATCTAGATAAATGTTTTAAACGCCAGGGCCTACATGAAGAACACGTTTTAAATGCCAGGGCCTACTGAAAGAACTAAAAGAATGCTTGAATCCATAGGGAATTTTTTAAAAATACAACCCAGTGTTATAAAAGTGCCAATTTCTCCTCAATTAATCTAAAAATAATACACAAGTCTACTGGAAAATTCCAGCAGGACTTTTCTTCATTTGACCAAATGATTTTTAGTTCATCAAGTGAATATGGAAAAAGCAGAAAATCTGAAAAAGAAGAAAATTGAAGGGATACTTATTCTATTAAAAAGAATAGTATAAAGCCACAGAAACAAAAACTCAGTAATAATGACTCAGAAATAGACAGGTCAATTGAATAGAACACAGCTCAGAAATAGATTCAAATATATAAGGGAATAATATAAGAAAATGAGTCACTTTAAATCAGTTGTAAAATGGTGTATGTATTCTTGAAGTCTGACAACTGGCTAGCAATTGGGGTAAGTAAAAATAAAACTGGCTTATGTTTCTCCTTATTCAAAAATAAATCCCAGATGGATCAAAGATTATCGTGTAAAAAAAAGTTAAAATCTAAGGCTTCTATGAGGAAATACGGGGAAGTAGTTCTGCAATCCTGGAAGGACAATGTTCATTCTTAACTGTGATACAAAAGCTTAAAACTACAAAATGACATAGTGATTAAATTTTTGACAAAAATTTTATACACAAAAACAAGTGACATTTAGTTTAATTTAAAAATCACTGTGTGCAGAGTTAAAAGTCAAATGACAAACTCCAAGCCCAAATAACAATATCTCAATATTCACAGATCTCTTACAGGTCAATGAGAAAAAGACAACCATCCCAATAAAAATACTGAAGCAATTAAACAAAGAAGAAATAAGAACATCCAATAAGCGCTTGGAAATATGTGCGATTTCATTAATAATCAGAGAGATGCAAATTTTTAAATGATTTTTGGGCATTTGTCAATTTTTAAGAAAGACAAAAGCCAGTATTGAGAAAGTATGAAAAAACAAGCACTCTTTATTATTTTGCTAGTGGGTGTTGCAACTGGATTGACAGTTCTGGAGGGCAGTTTGGTAAGGAATATACACCAAAATTTACCTTTTGGCTCAGCAATCAGACTTCTAGGAATTTAAGAATGTAACTGTACAAATGCAAAATGATTAATGTGCAAGAATATTAACTAAACACATAATAGAGGGGGAAAGCTGCAATGTAAATATCAATAGGAGGTTAAAGTTGAGTATATATGCATGTATATATAGATACAGATATGGATATAGATGTATAATGTAACCATTAAAAATTATGACATATGTATCTATTTACTGACATGAAAACACAAAAAAGTGGAGAGAAAACAATGTCTAGTCCTAAAAGACAAGTAACAGAGCGTCATATATTGTATTAATCTTTTTATGTAAAACTAGGTGTTTATATGAGTGTGTGTATGTTTGTGTGTGTGTACCGAGATGTCTAGAAGAATATCTACCAAATATGAATGGCACGTTTATCTGAGTTGGAGAGATGTGAGTAGTTGTTTTTTTTTTTTTTAAAGATTTTATTTATTTATTCTGAGAGAGAGAGAATGAGAGAGAGAGCACATGAGAGGGGGGAGGGTCAGAGGGAGAAGCAGACTCCCTGCTGAGCAGGGAGCCCGATGCGGGATTCAATCCAGGGACTCCAGGATCATGACCTGAGCACTTGGATGGGAGATTTGAGTAGTTTTAAATTTTTTCTTTGGACTTGGGACTTTTTTATGCTTAATTTTTTTTGTTTTGTTTTTTTTAAGATTTTATTTTATTCATTTGACAGAGAGAGAGAGACAGAGAGAGAGCGAATGAATACAAGCCGGGGGGAGTGGGAGAGGGAGAAGCAGGCTTCCAGCGGAGCAGGGAGCCCGACACGGGGCTCGATCCCAGGACCCTGGGATCATGACCTGAGCCG